CATCATAATTCTCCATATTATAATTGGCTTATGATTAAAGATTGAATTTTTCATCTAATTATTTTGATAGTGTAGTATATGCAAAATCAATCCACTACAAGGAAAGTAAAGAATGCAAAGGATAAATTTTGATACTACCTCTGTCCCAATAAGATATATTTATTTCTATTTTCATGTAGATTTAGAAAATATAATTAATATAATTGGTAATATAATTTTTTCTAATATACCGCTGCATTAAATAATGATTTAAATGTGATTAATTTATATTTGTTGATAATAAGGCATATTAGAAAACTAAAAAAATATCTATGCTTTCAATATAATTTGAGACAAACGAAAAAGGAAACTAAGCCTATCTTCATGAGACGAATGGAGTAATTTATATTATAGAAGTCTATTTTCATTCTTTCACTTGAGGTACAAAGATTTATACAGAATACGGTGTCCAATTCTTATTAAATTTTGTTCTTTTGCTATTAACACTTTTTTTGGTGAGAGGTATTTTTTTGGTTCTTTAGTTCATTTTCTTGTGATAAAAAAAACAAAAAAAAATCTTTAGGATTGTTCATGTTTCTGTGCATATGGGACATTCTGTTTGCTCTATTGTTGTTGTAAAATGAAATTTTTTTGAACTTTCACTCTGGGAAGAATATTAATGGTGTGTAGAATTGTGTTCTTCGATAATGTTAGTAAATATGTGGCTTAAACCATTTAACAGGTATGATCTCGTTTAACGGAAATGTGTATCCGTATTATAAGATCTGTGATTGGTTCCTCTATATTTTGTTAAAAGTATCGAGCCGGCAGCATCTTTTGATAAACGAAAGCAAGAAAGAAGTTCCTTCAATTTTCGTGGATTTGGTTTTACCTGACGATCTGTTGGAGCGGATGTTAGCTCATCTCCCGATTGCTAGCATTCTCAGGGCAGGCTGCGTGTGTAAAATGGCACGAGATAGTCACTTCGGAAAGGTTCCTGTGGAATTTCACCATGTCCTGCCACAAAAGCCTTGGTACTTTATGTTCACCAGCTCAGATGAACCAGTTGGTTATGCGTATGATCCCATCCTCCAAAAGTGGTATGGCATTGACCTCCCTTGCATTGAGATATCCAATTGGTTCATTGCTTCGTTATGTGGATTAGTTTGCTTATGGACAATGATAGCAGGAGTGAACTATATGTTTGCGACTTAATAACAAGACGCTGCAACCTGCAAGGCTCTTGATGGTCCTCCAGGTCCGAAGTTCTCTAATTACAGTGCATTGGCAATCTCAATGAATAGGGTATCACACAATTACACCTTCTCAATAGTTAAATCTAAAGAAGTTCTGGGAACTTCTTTCAGTGGGATCTCTCGATCCACTTGTATACTTCAGAAACAGGGACATGGGTGAACACATTGACAGAGGATTTAATGGGATGGAGAGCCAGTGACGAGAGTGTGATTTGCGATGGAGTTTTGTACTTTCTGATTTACTCGACTGGGGGTAATGGTCCTGAGAATTGCCATGGCCTTATCATGTATAACCTTGCAAGCCGATCACCCCATTGTGTATTGATGAGGAGTTTCATCCCAGTGCCATGTTCTCTTACTCATGGCCGTCTGATGAACCTGAAAGAAAAGCTTATAATGGTTGGAGGAATCGGGAAACAGGATCAACCCGACATCATTAAGGGGATCGGGATTTAGAGTCTGAATGGAAGGGACTAGCAAGAAATTGCCCGAATGCCAAAACTTTTCCAGGGGTTTGGGGAGTTTGATGATGTCTTTGCCAGCAGCAGTACAGACGACCTCATATACATCCAGAGTTATGGAGAACCCACTCTTCTTGTTTATGATGTTGACTAGAAGCAACGGAAGTGGTCACAGAAATGCCCCGTGACCAAAAGGTTTCCTCTGCGGCTTTTTACTGCTTTTTGCTTTGAACCAAGGCCGGAAATCTCTCCACACATCTCTTTTGTGCATGGAATATAATTTGGTCTTACTCACAAACTAGCAATTGATTGATAGCCTTTCTCTATACCAACTTTTTGTTCAATTATGGTGATTTTGATATCTTGGAAAAAGGTTTATAGAATATGCAGAATCCTTGAGGCTGTTCAAACATACAATGCGAATATCATTGTTCTTTACATCCGAAATGCAATTGGATTGGATGCAATTGATATCTTCGTTTTGGATGTATTTATCAGCTTTTTCGTACTTTTCAAGATTTGACAGTTCTTGCTTGATGTTCCTAGCAGATCTTCCTATTCATAATCTTCCTACCTGAAAATCTTGTTTTTTTTCACTTGTTTCTTGTTGCATATTGAAATTATTATGGAGATTCATATTTGTCATAGACTTCACGCTTACGGACCCATGCATTTCCCATGCTTTGCTTAGTCGAGATAGCTACATCTGTTTTTCTCTGAGTTGATGTCTCATCCAATCCTAGGAGAAATGGATGATTTTCTCCAATTCATTTTCTTTGTTGTAATGCTCGAGTAAGGGATCGTCTAGTTGTAATCGACAAAGAGGCCATCTTGAAATTGGAATACAGTTTTTTGGTTGATAGTATCTCTTCGACATCCCGGGACGACATTATTTCTGTATCCCCTAGACATGGATTTTCTTTACTGAGGCAAAAGTTAAGACTGGGTATGGGCTTCCTCTCTAAAAGTTGCTACAATGACGGAAAAAATCTCTGATTTTGGAAAAGTTAAAATTTGATTGCACTCTTGACCACACAAAGGGAATCATTCAGCAAGATCGACCCTGAATCCATTACCTCCTGCAAAAAAGAAGGCATCTCTTTGTGCATTGGCCTCAGCTAGTAGTCGAAAGCCCACTCATGCTCCATGAAGGTCACCACGACACCCAAGTGATCCCGAATAACCACCCCAACACCAATGACCTCAGTTGACTCCTTGACGGATGCACAACTTACCAAACCCACCCCGGAGAAGCCCAACGGCGATGCAGCCCTTTTCCTCCCACCTCGCCTGAGCTGCCCACCCAAGGCCCTTTATGATTGAGTTAATTTTATCAATGATCACTGAATTTTGTTATAGGTCGCCACTTGCTCATCGAAATTCAAAAAGTTACTATTTGCTCATTAAACTTTGCTATATGTTACTACTTGCTCATCGAAATTTAAAAAGTCACTCGTAACTCACCCAAATTTAAATAAAATTATTCATTAGTCACTTGTATCATTTCCATAATTGTTGATTATAGCAAAATTTAGTGAGCAACGAGTAAACTTTTAAATTTCAGTAAGTAAACAGTACTATATAGCAAAATTGAGTGAGCAACGAGTAACTTTTTAAAGATTGATGAGCAAGTAGTAACCATTGCAAAATTAAGTGGCCGTTGATTAAATTAACTCATTTATGATTGGCCCATGTTAGGACCAAATTGAAAAAAAAATGAAAGAAATTGAAAAAAGTAATGTTATTCAATTTCACTGGGAATGAAAATGCAGTTTATGTGGCGTTAATGTGGTATTAAATGATATGTGAAATTAAATAAGTCATTAAATTGCACCTATCATTTAACCAATCATTTACATCCACATAGACTGGGGATGCATCCCAACTGGGGATGAATAGCATTTTTCATTTCAAAATTTTCAAGTTGAACGAACGCTACTCTAAAAGTTGCTACAATGACGGACAAAATCTCTGATTTTGGAAAAGTTAAAATTTGATTGCACTCTTGACCACACAAAGGGAATCATTCAGCAAGATCAAACCTGAATCCATTACCTCCTGCAAAAAAGAAGGCATCTCTTTGTGCATTGGCCTCAGCTAGTAGTCGAAAGCCCACTCATGCTCCATGAAGGTCACCACAACACCCAAGTGATCCCGAATAACCACCCCAACACCAATGACCTCAGTTGACTCCTTGACGGATGCACAACTTACCAAACCCACCCCGGAGAAGCCCAACGGCGATGCAACCCTTTTCCTCCCACCTCGCCTGAGCTGCCCACCCAAGGCCTCAGTCAGTTGAGCAGCTCGCCCCCACCCTCACACACCATGAAGCGGGGCACCCTGTTCTCCCTGCCCCCATATATCACTCACATCAAGACGGTAGCAACCTATGTGTGCCAATGAAGGGAAAAAGCAATTTAAATTGAAAAAAAACCAATCACAGAAGGCCCTTTATGATTGAGTTAATTTTATCAATGATCACTGAATTTTGTTATAGGTTGCCACTTGCTCATCGAAATTCAAAAAGTTACTCTTTGCTCATTAAACTTTGCTATACGTTACTACTTGCTCATCAAAATTTAAAAAGTCACTCGTAACTCACTCAAATTTAAATAAAATTATTCATTAGTCACTTGTATCATTTCCATAATTGTTGATTATAGCAAAGTTTAGTGAACAACAAGTAAATTTTTAAATTTCAGTAAATAAACAGTAATATATAGCAAAATTGAGTGAGCAACGAGTAACTTTTTAAAGATTGATGAACAAGTAATAACCATTGCAAAATTAAGTGGCCGTTGAATAAATTAACTCATTTATGATTGGCCCATGTTAGGACCAAATTGAAAAAAAAAATGAAAGAAATTGAAAAAAGTTATGTTATTCAACTCCACTGGGGATGAAAATGCAGTTTACGTGGCGTTAATATGGTATTAAATGATATGTGAAATTAAATAAGTCATTAAATAAGTCATTAAATTTCACATTTTATTAACCTATCATTTAAAATCACTTAAACTGTATTTTCATCCCCACTGAAATGAATAACATTAATCAATTGAAAAACCAATCACAGAAAGCCCGTTGTCTAAACACGTTTAGGCAGTATCCCACCTAATTTTCACTTTTAAATATTAGCTGCTTTTTTGCACTTGTAGTCCCTACCGTATTAGATTTATGTGGATTCAGGATATATCTTTACAATTTCGGCAAAAGCATCAATAAATCAATGTTTCCTTTGCAAGAAAGGTTCTTTCCGTCCAAATTGTCCATTAAAGAATCGCATGCATTGCACATGCTTAATTTCAGAAGGATAAATTTGTCCAATCACCTAAAATAAAATGAAATTTATTTTAAGCAGTCAAAAAATTGATATGTTCAATTGTATTAAAATGGATATCAAAAGACTCAAAGCTATTAAAGAAATTGGATTCAATCAAGATCCATGACATCAAGTGGTCCATAGAAAGTGGTCTTTAGTTTTGTCTCATCGACCATGCAAAATTAGTACTTTTTTATAATTTTGTTCTTAGAAAAAAATATTGTTCTTTTACTATAATATTATATGGGTGGTGGGACATATGATGTTGAGCTACCATGTGTTGGACGTTGGACCACTCTATGTATGTACAATTTTCTTCAAGAAACTTCTACTTCGTAGGATTGGGGCAATTATGGATTAGGTTAGGGTTGCCTAAACTTAGCTTCAAATTCATAATTTAATCGAAATAATGTAATTATTTGTAGAGTATTATAACTATTCTTCTTCTCATGTTAAATCGATATATTCATCGCTAATAAAATTTACGGACGAGTCTTTTATCATCCTCATTACTAAGAATTTGACAATCTATAACAGAAAAATTAGGAGTATGATACTTTTGTAATTCAATAATTACTCTCACAAGTGTCTACATTCACCGTTCATGAGGATGAAAGTCAACATTAATATTCGATTACATGCTTTGAAGTCAATAAAGTATATCGAATTGAAATTTTTATTATGAGATCCTACAACGTTACTTTTTAAACGGTCTATACCATAATTGACAAGAATTTGGAGATAAAACACATTTTTAATAATACTTTTTTTTTCCAAACTCATTTTCAATCATACATTTTCCAAGAAATTAATATTCCAAAATCATTTTTTTCCCCCAAATAATGGGGTTCAAACAAAGGCAAAATCTTTAAATTATACAATTACAATAAAATATTAAAAGAAATCATAGAAAAATATTCATAATTTTCATTCAATAAAATACTATCTTATGAATCAGTTAATTGATTTATAAAAATCTAACAATTAATTTGGAATTTGATTAACACAATAAAAATTAATTTATAAATAAAAATATACTTGAATACGAAAGTAAAGCAAGAATCATACAAAGGCTAACATTGGCCTAACCAGGTAGTGAAGCTTCAACCTCAGGACGGATACGGATACGGCTTGTGCCACGTGGCAGTTTTTTCACGGCATCCAATGAACTGTAGAGGGTGAAACCTTAATTTCACCTTTTAAGTTTCCCCAAATATACAGTAGAATGATTAGAATCCCACCCACCCCAACCCCCCCTACTTACTTTTATCCTTCGTAGCCAGCCCTTTTGAGGAACAAAGCATGTCTGCATGCAATCAAAGCGTTGAAAAAGAGAAAGATAAGAGAGGGAGACTGCTGTGTACCAAGTGCGATTGAAATATTTGTCGTTATAGAATATTCAATTTATGGGTTTTGAACAAAAGGGAATTTGAAAATTGGGAGAGGGAGGAAAATGGAGAGGGAAAGGAAAAGTAGGGAGGAATTTGTAGTGAAAAAGTTGAGAGGCGGGAATTTGGTGGGGAAAAGAGAGGGAAATTGTACTCCGTCGCCTACATGGAAATTTGGGTTAATTCAACCGGATGGTACTCTAGTTCAAGATTTCAATTTCCCCCCAAACACCACTCTTTCTGCTAGAAAACTTGTTGCCAATCTTTGGGAGGTACAACCGCACCTCACCCTTAAGATGAACAGAAATGTGACAAAGGATAATCATCTCAAAATTGAGGAATTTAAGGCTTCAAAACAGTTATCTGAATCCCCTGATAGATCCCCAGAGCAGGTAAGAATCTGGGCAACCTAATAATTTTGAATGCTTGATATGATTGATTTGGATCTTGCTTCATTATTATCAGAATTTATGAGTCTGTGATTTGTGTGATTAGCATGATCTTCTGTTACTTTTTTGCAAGTATTTTGGGGTAGTTAAGGTAGCTGTGAGTATGGTTACTTGATTGTCAAATAGATCGCTTTTGCCTGGTTTCCTTCCAAGATACCCGGTTGATGGTAGTCCAACTTCGAGAATTATGCTTTATATTCTTTGTTTGAGCATTGGGGAATTTGTTGCTTCAATGTTTGGTTTTGTCATAAGTTGAATTTCCCATTTCCAATTGTTACTCTGGGTATAATTTTGAGGAAAATGCTATGGGTACATGCACAACCCTAATTTTGATTATACTTGTGCATTATTGTAGGCGTCCCCTCAATACGGGGGGCGCCTATGGGTACATGCACAACCCTAATTTTGATTATACTTGTGCATTATTGTAGGGTTAGAGTTTTAGATGAGGTGAACTTTTGGATTATAGTCTTTGTGTTTGATTTAAGATATATTTCTACATGGAAAATCTATGGTTCTATTTGGAAAAAAGCCGATAACTTCTTGAGATTTCATTAAGTCTATTTCTCACCGATGGATCCAGGATTTGGACTTGAGGATACACAGTTGGGCTTGGCATTAGTCAAATTTTTTGTTTTTTTTGCTTCCATTGCTTGTAGAATTTGCCAAGCCTAAGTTTTATCTCAATTAAAGATTCTTCGTTCTAAACAGAGAAAACTTTGGAAAAAAACTGTTTCCAAATTAATAGTGTTATTGTAAGGAAGATGGTTGGGAAGAAATGTGGGTCGTTCACCACAAGAATGCCAATGGCTTTTTTGAGGAGAATGAGGGGCGGGCACGAGGGGTTGTTCTGCATTTGTAAATATTCTCGCATGGCTTGCTATAAAACTTTCTTGATCATCTAATAGGAAACATTATGTGCATAGACTTACGGCTGGACATTTCTTTGCTGATCTTTACCCTCTATTTTGACAGGCAACGAGCAGCAGTGGTTTGAAAAAGCATGTTTCAGCATTAACGACACAACATAATCAGAGGCTTAAAAGAGTCGGCCATGTTCAACGGCCTGTTTCCACTGCTAGTTACTGTAGCTCAATGGAGGTATTTTAACTTTCTACGAAACTCCACGAGTCCGTTTCTTAAAGTGATGTTTTATTTATGTAAAGTGAGTGGAGATTCAGAAATGAAGTTGCAGAGGGGCGTGAAATAACAACAATCTATTTCTATTTCACGCTGGACATTCCGTCTTTTTATTTTTTATTTCTTCCGTACTGCTCTGTAATCCAATGATTTCTTGCTGTTGTATTGTAGAAAAGCTCTTCCTTTTGGGTCCAGCGTTAGAAAACTCGTTCACCGTATCTTTACTAATTCGAATAAAAAATCTCTTCATTTGCTCTTGACAGATGGCTCCTTACAGACCGCCCCGCTCCCCAAATAGTTCTTTTGACACCAAAGGTAAATTAGGCACGCCAAGTTGCAGCTTCCAAACATCTACTGAGTTACTTAAAGTACTCAATAGGATTTGGAAACTTGAAGAAAAGCATGCATTAAATATATCGTTAATAAAAACATTGAAAAGGGAACTGGATCAGTCGAATGCACGGATTAAAGAATTACTGCAAGAGAAGAAAAGAGATCAACAGGAAATTGCTGAGTTGATGAAGGAAATAACTGAAGATAAAGTTTCGAGGAAATACAAGGAGCAACATCAAATGAAAGATGCATTTGAGTCCATTGGGCACGAGTTAGAGGATGAACGAAAATTAAGAAAACATTCGGAAAATCTTCATTATAAGCTATCTCGGGAACTTTCAGAAGTGAAATCTTTGTTCTCTAATGCTTTGAATGAACTTAAACAGGAGAGAAAAGCACGGATACTGCTAGAAGATCTATGTGACGAGTTTGCAAAAGGAATAAGAGATTATGAACAAGATATACGGTTGTTGAGGCAGAAATCTCACGAGAGTCAAATTGGAAAGGACGGGAATGATCGATTGATTCTTCATATTTCTGAAGCCTGGTTAGATGAAAGAATGCAGATGAAGCTAGCAGATGCTCGTGATGTTACAGAAAAACCGTCAGTTTTGGACAAGTTAAGATTTGAAATCGAAACCTTTCTTCAAGCAAAACAATCTGGGAATTTGGAAATAAATGATTTTCAATCCTCGGAAAAGCCAAGGGAAAATAATTTATGCAGGCGTTCTTCGGAATCTCAATTGAATAAAGGTGTAAGTTTGAAGCAAGGAAATGACAGCACCAAGCAACCAGCAGAAATCATTGCAGATAGTCGTCTGAAAACAACAGAAAAATCAAAACCGATAAAGAAAAAAGCAGTTTCTAGAGAAGTTGAGGGTTCTGATCCATCTAGACTACAAGTGCAGTCGGAAGAACAAGTCATGCATGATCAAGATTACGTGAACGAGGAACCGGCTAAAGAAAACCTAGACGAAAAGACCAATAACTTGCCAAATGACTTAATCAGAAATCCTTCTTTGGCATCGGAAGGTAAGAAACTTCGTAATGGGAATAATTATATGGAAAGTTCTTTCGATCCCTCTACGTTTACTGGTCCTTCTAGTCCCGTGCTAAAGTGGACGTCCGAGGTAAAAGCTGCAGATCCCAACACGTCGGAATCTTTCTCAAGATGGCCTCGAAGCTTCAAACCGAATACCTTGCAGGCAAAGTTGCTGGAAGCACGGTTAGAGGGTCAACGACCTTGTGCTCAAGTTTCCAAGGATTTGTCTCAAGCTGACTAGACTACAACTTGATACAAACTCGAGAGCTGTTGAAACTGTAAATGAGAATGACCCTCTGTGTACATTGTTGTAGGGATTGATCGAATCCATGTCCTAACTCCTAGTTATTGTGGTAAACTTGTTACACCTTGCAGGATTCTGTAGAAAGATTTTGATTATGTAATATCATTTTTGGCCCTATGATAATCTTGTCAAGAATATGTAGTTTACATTTGCTGGTGTTTTGTTGGACGGATATGTGTTGATTTTATTTTAAGGGTGCTATCTTCTTGATGTTTCAGAAAGGTCACCTTAACATGGTCAAAGTCATTAATTATGTTCATACTTTACAAAAAAGGGCCTGAATGATCTCATTAACAATGTTTTACTCTTCGTCTAGGAACTTATTCTAAGATATCATATTTTGATCGTTTTGAGATCATCTACCTAGTTAAATCCATAACTCGTTTATAATTAAGTTTGATTTTACATTCTTGGTTCTCAACTCTTTAACTTTTCAAATATTTTCATATTTTCTCTTATGGTAGTTCGTTCTCTTTGTAAACTATATTTTAAGAGAAGAGTTTCATGATTAAATTGAGTCGTCAAATTGGTAAAAGTAAATTAAGTAGAGCTTACACGTAAAATCATGGAAGGAGACGTGCCCAGAGTACTTATAAGTCTTCGTGTCCGGCTTCAACTTAGCATTGTAGAATGCAATAGAGTCGTTGCAATAATCTAACAATATTTCTAATCGTTTTTTTAATGATTGAGAAGCATACTTTAGTAAGATTACAAGATAGTTTTTGAGTTGTAATCTCTTATAATAAAAATGGATGAGACCCATAAATTTAATGAAAAGAAAAACACCCCAATTTTATAATTTGTGAGAACTTGTTGATTCTTATCTAAATTTACTTATTTTTGCCCAAACAAACAAAAAGTAGGGGAAAAAAAAGGGAGGAAATTAGGCCCAGTACGACCTAAAGTCAATGAAATCGAATAATACGTTTCATCAATAATTTATCATCTAACAACATAATTAATACATCCTAAAAGCCCCAACCCCCAAAACGTAATTCAATTTCAAATTTCCTTCAGAATTCGATGAGTTAGAGAGAGAAATGGTGAAATCGAGCGCCGATGACGACAACGAGCTCCGGAGAGCTTGCGAGGCAGAAATTGAAGGCACGAAGGATAAGATCTTAATGTCGATTAGAGTGGCCAAGAGCCGCAGGATCTATGGGAAAAACTGGCAAATTGGGTCGCAGTCACATGGCCAAGCCTCGGTTCTCGCCATCTCCAGTACTGCCTTTTCTGTTCTTTTTCTAATACCAGTTTCTACTTGTGAATATGTTCAGATGCGCGTACTTGTTTCAATTATAATGTTTGCATTTGTTTTAAATTTTGATCAATTTTAGGCTGTTAAGTACCATGGCAACTTTCTTCTTCATGCTTATTGAGAAAATTAAGCTTATTCTTCGGTTCCAATTACTCTCTGAAACCCATTCCAAACAGACCTTGAGGGCCGACTCAAGAAAAAGATAATCTTATCCTTCCGAAATGCTAGGTTCCCAAATTTCATTCATATTCGGTAAATGAAAAATCAAGTTCGATGAGGAATGAAGATGATGATTTTTTTTGGTAAGATTCAAGCTTGGGTTTACTTGGGGTGCTGGATGTTTTGTTGTTTGGAGCTTTGGGTACCTGGGTTTTTGCAGATTTTATGGACTTTTGGTTGAAGGTGTTTGCTTCAACTTCATCGATTGAAGGTGTATGTATTGTGTATCTATTGTTGAAGATAATAGTTCAAGGGAAGATGTTGGATTTTCTTGTGTTGACGTTGGTGAATTCACGTGATCTTGCATGCCAGATTTTCA